ATGTCCAAGTCTTTGATGCCAAAGTTCAGAGTTTGAACCACAATGTGCAGGAAGAACAACTTATTTATTTCTCGGTGGCTGAACATAGTTATACAATCCATCTCTCATCTCACCCAATCCAATTCGCTTCTTCATTTTCAGGTCCTAAAAGACACAAAATGTTGGAAAAAAAATGACAACACAATTCAATGAATGAGTTAACTTACTGATGGAAAGAAGATTAAAATCGAAAGATGGTATACAAAGAACGCCATCTAACGTAATAGTGGAAGAAAGAATGGACTTTTCAGTATGAGTAACAGACATGCTAGTACCATTTGGAAGACATACAGGTTTAACATTTGAACTTTCAGTAGCATGAGAAAGCAAGGATAAGTAGGGTGTAAAGTGGTTGGAAGCACCTGAATCAATGACCCAAGAAGTAGGTGGAGAGTGGACTGAAGAGTTACAGTGTTGTATACCTGCAAAGTTTGCTGCAAAGAATTATCCATCAATGTTCAAGAGTGACAATAATTGCTGATATTGACTGGTGGTGAGCCGTGGAAGTGGAGTTACAACCTCACTTGAAGAAGGAGCAGAATCAGTGGAAAGTGTTGTAACAATAGCTGCTTTTTGGATGCCATGCTGGGTACGCATGCAATTCAAAACATTTACTACAATCATGACCTATTCCACCACAGTGACCACATGTAGATTTTTGTTTTCCACGACCAGATGTTCGTGGGTTTTTAGGTGGACGAGCACACAAGGCTGTTAAAGCAGCATCTTCTCATATAGAAGCACTAGTAACTTGGAGATTTCTTTGCCTTTCTTCTTGTTGGACCAAAGAATAAACCTTATTGATGTTTAGTATGGGTTTAATGGTCAGAATCTAGGTCTTTAGAGTTCCAAAAGTCTCATTTAGCCCCATGAGAAATTTATGTACACGTTCAAATTGTTGATGGGCTTGCACTTCTTTCTTTGCTCCACATGAACAAGATGGCATCTTCGTATAAGAAGCCCATTCATCCCATAATGTCTTTAAGGACGTGTAGTAAGCACATACTGACAATTGATCGTGTCGAAATGTGGTTATAGACCTTTTCAATTTATAGATTCTCATACCATTTTCTTGAGAGAACATATCTTCAAGATCTAACCACACCTCACGGGCATAATTAATGCAACTCATGTTGTTGCATTGTCAATGGAAACATTGTTGAGCAGCCATGAAATCATCATGTTGCTACAACGTTTCCAAGTCATAACTATGGAAGGTGGAGAATTTGGTTTCTCCAAACTTCGATCAACAAAACATCTATTATTCTTGGCTGCAAGTGCCACTTTAATAGCACGATTCCAAGTAGGATAGTTATCACTAGTAAGTCATTGAGAGACTAAGACCATACGTAGATTATCCGAAGGATGCAGGTAGTATGGTGAGGAATAATCAATGGCAAAACTTCCTTCAATCATGTCAATTGTCAAGCCAGAGGTGGAGTCATTATCTTGTTGATTATTATTGAGGCTGTCGGACGTCATGAGAGAAGCTCGAGCCTTTTCCGCTGCTGAAATTTGGTTTGTTACTCTTTCTCTCTCTAACTTTATGCTCCAAACTGTGCAGGGTTTGGAAGCACAAAAGCTTTTTGTTTTTGAAAGACGTGGGGTGTTTGCAAAGGCAAGCAAATAGGACAAAGTTGCAGCTAGATGCCAAGGTGCTAGTGATTTTAGTAGGGAGAGAAAGAACTCTGCAGAAGCAAGCTAGAGAGAGATAATATCTTCCATCACCTTCCAATCGACAATGTATCAATGGAAAAAAATGAGGTATTTTCCCTCACTGCCAAAACCACAAGAACCAGCCAAACTCTCTCTTGCATAAGCAAGACGAATCACAACTGATGCGATTATATTGTTGATGAACTTTTAATCTAAAAAAAATGCTATCATATCAAATATGCGCCGATACCATGTTAAAATATGGAGGACTTATCTTCATTATAGACAAAACGTCTCACTTATAGATGTACAAGATAGAAGATAGATACAAATAACTTTCAAACCCATGATTGAAGGGATGAGATAACAACAAAATAGTTATAACAATAATAAGATTGAATGAGTCTGTTAACTTTGAATTTGAATTCGAAATCGTCAATAGGGTATGTTTAGGTATGGAGGGGGTGGGGAAGTGAGTGGGGGAATGGGCGACAGAGGAAGAGAGTGAGTTTTCGAGAAAGGGATACCCCAAGCAAGAAAAAGATGAAGAAAAGAAACATGATTGAGAGTGTTTTATGTGGGGATTTCATATCTTCATGATTCAAAGGCGAGTGTGAATATCCATTATTCGAATAGGGCCCTCATTAATCAAACAATTCTGTTACCTTTCAAATTCCTCTCAAAATCTTTCTTGACTGGCCAGGAGCTTCGAGATTCGACCCTGAAAAATATTAACTTCAGCTTTCATGATCCAAAGTTAAGTTTTGTTTACATGACTTTAGCCCTTTAAGACACTAAGTCAACAAAACTTGATTTGAGCCCATGAAGGTCTGAAGTCACATTAAGAAAACGTTTGAAACTTCGTTATGTTGTTACTTCAGACTTTGAAAGTCTGACTTATGAGTATTTTGGAAAAAAAAAAAAGAGAAAAAAGAAATATTAACATAAATACAAAAAGTTGAAAGAAAGTAAGTTCACGAGACAAGATCATGAGTATCTCTAGATTATTAAATACAATCTCTTTCCAAGAAGTGAATCATGGCACTTGATATTGGGAGGCATTAATGTAGAGTCTTAGAGCACTGGTTTCTTGATGCATTTTACTTCAAGAAAGGAAAACTATTATCACGTAATACATTAAAAAACTACCAACGATTTAAAAAAAAGTACGAGCTCATCATCCCCATTGAATTACCCAAAAATAAACAAACTACCTAATTCATTCATTGTTGAGGGCCCCCCAAATTATTGATTTAGGTTGTAATCATTTCTTTAAATAATTTTGGGCTCTTAAAGTTGCATATCTTATTGTCCGCAAATGGATGGTTTAGAGATATTGAGCGGGAGCATTGCCCAACAAAATGGACGATCTATGAGGGTTCTCTAATGTTGTCAGTTGGAGGGCAATCGGGCATAGTCGACCTATGGATCTGATAGGAAGGTTCGGATCTAGCTTAGGTCCTATCTGGTTGGATCGGGTCGGGCCCGGCCTGACTATATTAGTATAGATTACAAATAAACAAGGGCAAGCTTTCTATGCTTCCCCTCCAGCATAGAAGTTCTATCCTCCTCTTTATCCAACCGTCCATTCTGAATGGAGGGTTAATATTGCCCCAATCACAATGTCATGTCTCTACACTATTTTATTTTTAATTTTTTTTATAAACTATTTTGACACCAAATTTTGAACGTCTATTCCTCTATTAAACTCGTACTAGCGAAAAATGTAAAAAAAAATATTTTCAATAAAATAAAAAGGCCAAAATGCCTTTGAAATTTTCAAGGGGTATTTTGGTTATTATATTTTATCAAAAAAATATTTTTAATATTTTTTATAGGTGTGCCTCAATGAGACGAAGACACGTACCAAATTTCATATTCATACAATTTGTATAAAAAAACTAAAAATAAAATACTTTGAAACGTCAGATCTAAGATCAAACGATGAATGACTCCCTTGATCAAAATTAGACGGCGGATGGTAGGAGAGGATAGAACTTCTATGGACTGCAAGGGAAGCATATAAACATTTCCTTATAAATAATACTAAATATATTGTTTGAATTATGTAAATTAACTTTTTATATTTTTTATTTATAAACTTGGATCTGATCCAATCACGTAGATCGGGTCTTAATCTTATCCTTTGAACTTGATCCCCATTCCCACCCTAATTGAAAAAATTTACCATAGGAATGGAAACTATGATGAATAGTTTAGGGTCAGGTGGTGCTACTACCGCGGCCTCAACCCCATAGCGCCTTCTTTTGCTAATTGTCAACCATCAGTCAACGGAAACAGACGGTGGATGGAGTCTTAAAGCACTAGACTACCATGTAGGCCTGTTCATTAGACTTCCTTAAACTTCAGACTAATTTAGAGGGAATAATATGTGAGAGCTACGGTAATGAGTGCAAAAAACTAAAGGCCATTTCGTTTTCAGTAATCGTCACGCAAAATCCATAGTCCATAGTACTTTCCAGAAACTTTCAAAACCAACAGACTTATGATCGCTTCGCCACGTCAAGGGGAAAAACGAAACCAATAAGACCGTGCCAACTGTCACAGATAACGAATGAGATCTCGTGTTGCCTGCTGGGCCATTTAAAGCCGTTCGATATCGCCTCACTGATGTGGACCGCGTTCCTACCGTGAGATTTCTCGACTAGGCCGGCCAATCCCGACCCAACCATTTTAAGAAAATGACCATACTACCCGCATAATTTTCTAAATGACCAGAGCACCTTCGATCCTCACACAATTACCAAAAAGAAAAGTTTATATAAAGTTGCAACTTTAAAATGTAAAACTACAAATGTATCTCAAAAACCAATAGGGAAATACTATTTTAGTTCTGAAAAATTATTTAATTGAGCATACCAACTTCAAGCTGTATGACTATGAAAGAAAAAATAATTTTAAATCTTAAAAATAGTGCATCTTACTATCCATCTATTTTTAAAATTTTCATATGTTTAAAATTTTATAATTAAATATAAAAATAAATTTGAAATAATCTTAAAAATATTTTACATAAAAATTATATATTATAATCAAATATAAAAGTGCACTTTAATTGGATCGTTTAAAGTTACAACCTCATAGCAATCACAACGTTGCCCATATACCTCATAGACTCGAATGACTCACACTCGGTCACTCTTACCACAAAAGAAACGAAGACCATGGGATGTTTATGTCATTTCAGTATATGATCTGGTTTTAGGCAGAATGTAAAATGGGTAAAGTAGAATTCGTTCCTAAATATAGCGGGGGATAATATATAAGGGAGAAGTGCTCGTAATTCCTTTTAATTCCGATCCTTGTTTGCAAAAGAAAGTGAAGATGAGAAAGGGGGCGATGACCAGTGCCATCTTTCTAGTATTTCTTCTTGCTCTTCTTCCATATCAAGGTAATCTTCTTCTCCCTGAAATGCTAAATGAATTTACTGATTTATATACATTGCTCATTTGATCGAGCTATGTTTAGTGTGAAATGAATCATCTGAATCATCCTCACTGTGTCCATTTTCTTCTGATACTGGTTTCATGGAGCTCTGTTTTGGATGAAATGATCACTAATTCACTGTTATTTGTTTTGGATGAAATGATCACTTACTCACTCTTATTGCTCTCTTGATCGATCTCGCCTTAGTGTGATACTGTGAAATGAGCGAACTTGCTTGATTTTTTTTTGTGCCACTGTTTTGATCGAGCGCGGTATAGGATGAGACAAGCAATTTCTGTTTTTTTTTTTTTTTTCACATTCTTAATCTAGTACTGGTTTGATCAACTTCTGAGCAAGATGAATGAGCGCTAATTGTGGTGTTCTCTTCAGCTATTAATGCTTTGATCTAGTTCGGTGTAGGATAAATTTTTCCCTCAGTGATTGAAGTAGAAGAAAGTGCATTTGAGTTCACTGGTTGAAGGATCAGATGGCTTGAGCTTTGTGTTGTTTTTCTATGTGGAAATGGCGTGTTTCAGGTCGACATTTGCAAGCAAATGCTGAGGAAAATAATGGTGCAGAAGGCCTTGTGGATCCACCAAAAGTAGAGGAAAAGATTGGTGCCATACCTGATGCCTTATCAACTGATTCAGATGTTGCTAAGAGGTTATTTTTTTGTACTCTTTTACCCTTTTCAAATTTGTGTGTTTGGATCCATCAATATTACATCTCACTTTACGAGTTCCTTCATCTTTGGATGTGCTTGATAATGGAGTTATTTACTTTTTTTATCTGTTATAGTGAAGCTCTATGATAATCTGTTCAATTCATTGTTTTATAATCGATGTCAAATTTCCTTTTGTTTTTCTTTGGTGCTTTTATACTGTGGAAGAAGAGTGAGAAAGTGATTTTTCTTTGGTTTCAGGGAGGCGGAGTCCATGTCACGAAAATCTCTACGCGGTAATGCAGAGAAGTTCGAGTTCCAGGCCGAAGTTTCCAGGCTTATGGACATTATCATTAACTCTCTCTATAGTAACAAGGATATTTTCCTTAGGGAGCTCATCTCCAATGCTTCAGATGTAAATCTCCCTCTCTTTCTCTCTCTCTCTCTCTCTCACACACACACGCACACGCACACACGCACACGCACACATACATATATTCTGTTCTGTGTGTGCAGTAGTAGTGGTGGTAGTAGTAAACAGTATCATGGGGACCTTTTTTTATTGAAATAGTTGTATCAGGCTAACTTGAGCAATCTCTAATTCGTCATGTTTTCCATTGTTGATTTCTAGGCATTGGACAAGATCAGGTTCCTTTCCCTCACTGATAAGGAGATTTTGGGTGAAGGTGACAACACCAAGCTTGAAATCCTGGTCAGTATGATACTATTAATTCCTTAAATGTGATATCTGATCATATACTGTTGCACACTTAATTCAATAAATCTCGTGTACTGAATCTTGCCCTGGTTATATTCTGTTTGTCTTAGCTTTTGTTTTTTCCCATGGTATTTTTGCAGATCAAGTTGGATAAGGAGAAAAAAGTGTTGTCTATTCGAGACCGAGGTATTGGTATGACCAAAGAGGATCTCATAAAGAACCTTGGCACCATAGCAAAGTCAGGAACTTCAGGTCAGTCTTTTGGGTAGTACCTAAACTCTTATGTTCTCTCCATTGATAATGATAGGAAGACAAATATAGTGGAGAAGAAGGTAGGCCTAAAGTTGTTTTTCTCTTGATACAGCTTTTGTTGAGAAAATGCAAACTGGAGGTGATCTGAACTTGATTGGGCAATTTGGAGTTGGGTTTTACTCTGTGTATTTGGTAGCTGACTATGTCGAAGTCATTAGCAAGCACAATGATGATAAACAGTAAGTTGGAACCTTTGAGTCCAGCGCTTTTCTTTTGTTAACCAGTGACTGTTTGTATATTCCTGGAGCTAAAGCTTCTTGAATTTCCAATGCTGGGTGTCTAAGGTTTTATCATTTGTTGAATTAGATACATTTGGGAGTCAAAAGCAGATGGATTGTTTGCTGTTACGGAGGATACAGAGAATGAACCACTTGGCAGGGGCACAGAGATCAGGCTGCATCTCAGAGAAGAAGCTGGCGAGTATTTGCAAGAGGACAAACTTAAAGTGAGTACTTACATGATTTTGTTCTTGGCAGTTATGCTCCCTTCTTTAATGTCAGGGTCTGTTAGTAGTTGTATAGAGCTTTATTAAGTTGAATCTATTGAAAATTGTTTTAGCTATCTCTTGATAATAGGGATGGTTTGAATGTTGTGCTTTGCATTGATGAAATATATGTTTTCCTAAATCTTCTGCTGTGATGAATCATGATTATCCGAGTTGATACTTTCTGCTTTCACAACTATTCTTATTGCTTAATGTTTCTAGGGAAATTCTCTTCATTGGGATTTTTGGGTATTTATGAACTAGTACAAAAGGAGAAAACAAGAAAAAATTTTAAGAATTCAAATATTAGTTCTGTAAAATATTGAATGCTTGTAGATGAGATGCTATGCATGTCTAAAACTGCTTCAAAGCAAATGCTTAAGTGTACTATCTGTCAATTTCCATGAGATTAACGGACCAGCTGTATGGATTAAGGTGTGGAAAGGAAGTAAAAGTCCTTTTTCTGGTTTTATGCATTCACCAGTAATTCATGATTGTTGAATATTTTACAACTCTGCAAATAAAATAGAGGGACAATGTACTTTTTCAAATATTATTTTGATAAAATAATTAATGCTTGAAGGAAAATGTTCTGAATCATTGTTAAGTCTAAAATGCTTTCAAGTAAACTTAACAATGATTAATAAATTATTGTTAAGGCTAAAATTCTTCCAAGTACAGTTACCTGTTGATCCTTGACTTTGAAAGGACTAAAAGGAATGAAAAGGGACTAATAATCTATTATACGCATTTCACATATTTCTTAGTGCTTCAAATGTCTCTGTTTTATATTTGTTCTAGTCCAAGCTGTTTTAAGTCCTCAGAGTCTTAGTCCGAGTAAGAAACAATAGAAAAAGGTCTAAATGTTTTTTTTAATAAAGAAAAGGTCTAAATGTTGAAGAAGCCCAATTTTTTTAATGATATATACTGTTGAAATATTCTGTTTGGATCTTATTATCTGATTCTATGGCATTCCTTGAGCCCAGGCCCAACGTGTGATGTTTGTCAGAGTCCTTACCAGTTAATGAAAAAAAAAAAGGTTTTTCATTAGTCAAAATGTTTTCAGAGTTCTTTTGATTATAAATAATCCCTCTGATGACAGGATCTTGTGAAAAGATATTCGGAGTTCATCAATTTTCCAATATATCTTTGGGCAAGCAAAGAGGTAGATGTTGAGGTCCCGGCAGATGACGATGAATCTAGTGATGAGGAGGAAACAAGTAGGTTTTAATTATTATTTCCTGTTTTCTGTAGTATGAACAGTTGTTTTGTTTCTATCTGTGTGCATATTGCCTGTATATTATTTGCTACAACCATAGTAATATTTACTGAAAACGGATGGTTTCATACATTGTCCCTTTTTTTTGTTGTGTGCGTGCTACTTGCCAACAGCTGACAGCACCAAAGAGAAAGAGGAGTCTGAGGAAGAGGAATCAGAAGAAGAAGAAGAAACTGAGAAGAAACCAAAAACAAAGACAGTGAAGGAGACAACCTATGAATGGGAGCTATTGAATGATGTCAAGGCCATTTGGCTCCGAAGTCCAAAGGAGGTCACTGATGAAGAATATTCAAAATTCTATCACTCTATTGCAAAGGCAAGTACTCATGATCATGATCTTTATTTCTATGCTGTGACCATAATTTTTTTTTTGATATACTGAAGGTCATTTGTTGGGCTTATTGAGATATACTGGAACTATTTAGAAAAACTTTTAAACTCCGATACCATTTGCTTTATTAACAGGATTTCAGTGATGAGAAGCCATTGGCATGGAGCCACTTCAATGCTGAAGGTGATGTTGAGTTCAAGGCAGTCTTGTTTGTACCACCTAAGGCCCCTCATGACCTTTATGAGGGTTACTACAACAACAAATCAAACCTCAAACTCTATGTGAGGAGGGTCTTCATCTCAGACGAATTTGAAGAACTTCTTCCCAAGTATCTCAACTTCTTGAAGGTAATGAGAGGAAAAATTTAGCGAAAGTATCTGGGCAGTACCTGGATCGTGGAACATGGAACACCTGCATAAATCATGCAGGTGGCCAATAATCTTGAAACATAGGATCTGTTAATTTCTTGAAATGACTTTTTAACCTCAGGTCATTTCACCTTTTTACCCTTGATTGGTGTAAAGTCATGATCAATATGCCTTCTTTTCATTCACAGGGTCTTGTTGATTCAGACACTCTACCCCTTAATGTGTCAAGAGAAATGCTTCAGCAGCATAGCAGTTTGAAGACAATCAAGAAAAAGCTCATCCGTAAGGCGCTTGATATGATTCGCCGCATTGCTGATGAGGATCCTGATGAGGCTGAGGACAAAGAGAAGACAGGTATTATGATTGCTTGATTATATCTAAACACCATCACTAAAATTGTTTTATTACAATTCGGGTTTCTCGTAATTATGAGTTAGATGGCCATTTTTATACATCCAGATGGCAAATTGGACACTGAGAAGAAAGGACAGTATGCTAAGTTCTGGAATGAGTTTGGAAAGTCTATAAAGCTTGGTATAATCGAGGATGCTACTAACCGGAATAGGCTTGCAAAGCTTCTAAGATTTGAGAGGTATAATGTGAATTTCCTTTGCATATTAATGTCATTTGTGCTTATTACATTCTTCCATGGCTAAAATGTGACCTCATATCCTTTCAGCACAAAATCAGGGGGTAAGCTCGCATCATTAGATCAATACATTTCAAGAATGAAGCCTGGACAGAAGGATATATTTTATATTACGGGATCTAGCAAGGAGCAGCTTGAGAAATCCCCATTCCTTGAGAGACTTACTAAAAAGAACTATGAGGTATAGGAAATCCCCTATGATATCTCATTCTAGCTGTGTAGGGCTGGGATAATATACTATTGTCCATAGTCCAATAGGCAATAAAACTGTTAGTCCACTGGGTTATCACCAATCATTGGAATGATGGATGGTGATGAAGAAAGTGGGATCCGCCAGAACATCACTTTGGCAAAGATGTTTGTTGCACTCTGCTACTCTATCCTACAAGTTCATTAGATATTGATGCCCCTCTATTGTACCATTTCCCCCTAGGCAAGTGGATTGTAGTATACTTGCCCTAAATCTAACTCTCCGCTTGTGCATTAGACTAGCAAGGAGTGGAATGTGCGAGACATGTCTTATTCTCTCTCCATCTCATGTTAATCTTATTGCTTGCATCTCTCTGTCTCTCTCTCTCTCTTGCAGGTTATCTTCTTCACTGATCCAGTAGATGAGTACCTGATGCAATACTTGATGGATTACGAGGACAAGAAATTCCAAAACATATCAAAGGAAGGTCTTAAAATGGGGAAGGATTCAAAGATCAAGGAGACTAAGGAATCGTTCAAGGAGCTCACAAACTGGTGGAAGGATGTCCTCTCAAGTGACAATGTAGACTCTGTGAAGATAAGCAACCGTTTGGACAACACCCCGTGTGTTGTGGTGACTTCAAAATATGGGTGGAGTGCCAACATGGAAAGGATTATGCAGTCTCAGACTCTCTCTGATGCTAATAAGCAAGCTTACATGCGTGGGAAGAGAGTGCTCGAGATCAACCCTAGGCATCCCATCATTAAGGAGCTCAGAGAGAGAGTTGCTGTTGATCCTCAGGTACTTAATTTTGGATTAAAATGATTGTTTATCCTAAAGCCATGGGTACAAATGTTAATATTTTCTAGTTTGAGTTGGACATATCTTTTAAAATATGATAAATTTTTTGAAAACAGATGGAAATTTCCTTTAATTTCATGGGGAACTTTAGATGGATCTTGGAAAGATATACTCCATTGATATCATCACTTTCCTATGATAGATGGATAGTGATGGCGAGACTATGGTTCCTGCATTGCAGTGATGTCTTCTTTCAGGGTCTCGTTTCAGTGTGTGCAAACTCTCTATGATTGCCCACCTTTCGATGAGTGTGATGTTCCCAATGGACGCAGTTTTCCATGGTGCATTCATTTCTAATATAGTCTCCTTATTTATGATTTCTTTTTTGTTGTTTCTCAGGGATCCTGTAAATTTCTTGGGAAAAAGTTATTCTACTAAATGCAAACTTAAAAAGTTATGTAAAGTGAGAATTCAGTAAATTCAAATTCAGGAAAAACAGGATTGCGATAATTTTATTTTTATTTTTGTTCCATTTCTGGTCTCTTATTTTCTGGACTTCTCATTTGTCCTTTTTAATGTTTCATTAATTTTCATCTGAATATTTTCATGGAATTCATTTTTAATGAGAAACCAAAATTTTGAAAGCTAAATTTGTCTCTCTATTGTTCGAATCTTCTTATGAGGCTGTACAATGTCAGCCTTGAATGATGATAGTAGTTTTATTTATTTGGCTATTGTCAAAACTTGTCAATATTTTATGAGGCTGTAAAATGTCAGCCTTGAATGATGATTCTAGTTTTTAATTTATTTGAATTCGAAATGCAGGATGAAAATGTTAAAGAAACTGCAAAGCTCATGTACCAAACTGCTCTAATGGAGAGCGGTTTCATGCTCAGTGAACCTAAAGAATTTGCATCCAGCATTTATAATTCAGTGAAATCCAGCCTTAAAATCAGTCCTGATGCAACGGTCGAAGAGGAAGATGATGCAGAGGAGGAAATTGAGACTCCTGAGGCCAGTACCAAAGAGGCCAACCCTGAAGCCGAAGAGGCTCCGAAATCAGTATACTCAAAGGATGAGTTGTAAACTAATATTAGAGAGAGAGGGAAACCCATAAAGCAAAATGTGGTTTTGGGACCTTCTGTGATGAAATATTTTGATTAGATCCCTTATGAGAGCCCATGAAGGCTCTCACGTTTTACCGCCTCTTGGTTTTAGACATATTTGGCGTAGGTTTTTTCTATGTTTCCTGTAATCATAGTGAAGTTTTGGTGTTCCATCAATTTCGTACCTGATATATTCTGAATATTGCTTTTGCTGCATTTCTATATGATGTCATGAGAATGATAATGCAGGCTATGAATTTAGGCTTCAGGATGTGACTACAGTATGTTCATTCATGGAAGCCCATAAATAGGAAAGGAATCATATAAACCAATAAATTAGATAAATCATTTTTGTTGAAATTCAGTGCTTCCTGCCTAATCTAGTTTGAGTTTCTCATGGAGTTTTGGCATTCATATATGAGCTTTTGGTTGGCCTATGCATTAATGCAGAACTTGTAAATCGTATCCAGCATTAATGCATGGCTTTTGAAAACGATGAGTCCTGGGAATTGTACTCGATGAACACTTGGTGGTAGTGAAGGTCACGGGAAAATTCAAGTGGTATTGGTATATGGTTAAAGGTCGTAAACAATCAAAGTAAAGCGCACCTTCAAATACTGTTGAAAGACGTTGTTTCAGCTCCAAGAATCTTTATGATAGCCTGAAAATATATTTTTATCTTTAATTATGAAATTTCAAGTTTCAAAAATAATATACATATCTATGAATATTTGAAAATCTTGAAAATTGACGGTATAAATAATACGATATAAGGTGTATTATTTGCAAGATATGATGTTTTTTTTTTCTTTCTTTTTTTTGATGTCCAGGTCAAAATGATGAATTTGAGGGTTTCTCAGCATTGAAACAACTTCTACTACTGAATTTTTAAGATGTGTTTTAATTTAATTGTTTAGAGCATCAAAGCCCTCGAGGGATTTTCCATATCTTTTAAAAAAAGTTGATTTCATCTTATACGATCATGAAATGAAATATCATACGCTGATTTTATCGAGACCATCAAATTCCAACTCCCATATGGCAACATCCTCTTTAAAACTTGAGATAAAACAATTCTCTAAAACACTTTGCAATTCCAATTTCCTTCTATTGATCTAGTGAAAAGTTGAAAACGAATGGTTCAAAATTTGCCTAATTTGGATCGAGAATTGCCAATCAGGTTTAGGAATTGACTTGGAAAGGTTTAGGAATTGACTTGGAAAGGGTAGAGATTGACTTGGTTCACCTCGACCCTCATAGTTTACTTTTTTATTGTTTTTTATTTTTTTAAATTAAAATTATTATTTAATTCTATTTTGGGCTGATTCTCCTACCAGAGAATCTACGAGAATTGGTTACGTATGTTGACTCGGATCGGTAATTCTGATTCTAACTAAATTTTCAGAAGGCCGTTTCTGGATTGGATTCTAGAAGGCCGATTCCCTCGAATAATCTGGCTTTTGAAATATTGATGAAAACTTCCATGACTATTCCTTGCAACAATTTTGGTGCTTACATGACTTGAATTTAATGGGTCACTTTGTTTATCGCAACAAACTACTAAACTACAGTACCCCAAAAATCATCTTGGAGATGGATAGAGGATCTAAGGATTTTTTGAAGTTATATCTATACCATCTATTAGTTGGATACGGGATCTAAGGATTTTTGGAAGTTATATCTATATCATTTATTAGTTAGATAGTGTAGATTTGATATGTCTTTTAAGACTATAAAAAACTAACATGTTTTTTAATATAATATGAAATCAACATCGTAAAAATAAAATAGACTATATAGATTTTTTTTCTTCAATATAAATGTCCTTCTCAAAAGTCAAATGTTAGCACCCGACAATCGGGAAGCATCATTCCTCGACTCAATGTCTAAAGTTTTTAATGGGTATTGTACGGAGAAATGATGCTCACCAACCATCCATTATTAAAACCGGACAGTCGTGCAAGCTATTTATATCCAATCAAGATGTAAACATGGATTGGAGTATACTTTGCCTAAGTTGCTTTGGTTCCATGAGTTAAAGGTAAACCTCATTATATCACTGGAAAGTATATGATCTTAAATATAGCTCCTTGTAATGAACGATGGTGATGTAAAAGGCAGGTCATGTCAAACACTGGCTATGCCACACGCTCACTCTTTCTTACTCTCTGTCCCCATGATCATTTTTAATACTTGTGAAACAGAGATCAGAGAGTGGGCCTCTTGGATTGGATATGGAGTTGATGATCTTCCAATGAAGTACTTGGGTTTGCCTTTGGTAGATGATAGATTAAACTTAGCTGCTTGGGACTTCCTTATTTTAAGAGATTCTGCTTGGAAGATCAGATACATGTCACTTGGAGGTAGAATTACGCTTCTTAAGGCCACTCTGTCAAATCTTGTAGTTTATTATTTCTCCCTAATCAAAACTACAATGCTGGTTATCTCTAAATTGAAGAAGTTAATGAGTAACCTTTTTCGAAGTGTAATTCCAGAAAAGAGGAAGTTCAATCTTGTTAAGTGGTCAGAAGTTTGCTTGCCCAAACAGGATGGAGGCTTAGGGTTAAGACATTGCAATGAGGCTCTAAATGGCCTAGTGGTGGTGGAGGCTCGCAACATGGAATCTTCATTTATGGAAAAAGTGCTTTTCAATTAATAGGGTACAGATGAATAAGGTTTCTTGACTAAGGTAAAGCAAAAGGGGATCTCAATGGTATAGAGGGACATTCAAAAAGTCAAACCAAAGCTCTTGTCAAAAATAGAAAAAAAGGGTCAAACTAAGGTTCATCGCTCATGTGAAAATGCTTGTTGGAGATGGAAGTAAGGCTTAAGTTCTGGTCCACTAAGAGGGTAGGTGAACACATTGAAGATCTCATATCCTTCTAATAAGAGTTGCCTTGTCGAAGAGGTGGTATCAGGTGAGGGACACCAAGTCGTGTGGGATGTGTTAGGGATCCAACATCATGCTGCTCTGCAATTTGCAGATTGCTTCAATTACTTTAGGGCCATTTCTAGATAGAATCATTTGGGATTTAGATCCAGGGGGAAATTTCATGGTGAAGTTCCTATATGCAATTATGAGCCATGATAGATACTTCCATAATAGGGGGAGATCTTTAAAAGTATTGGGTTTTTGACTCCTCATCTAGTTAAAGTTTTTTTGTGGTTGGCAAGTAGAGATTGAACAATTTCCATTGAGAAACTGTAAGAAAGGGGGATGATCTTGGTTAATGGATGTATTCTTTGCAGAGTGTCAGCTGAAACCAATGACCACCTCTACATTCATTGTGAATAAGCCCCCAAGTTGTGGAGGTGGGTTCTTGAGAAGACAGTGCACCTGGGCATCAGCTGCTTACTCAAATTTCTTATAGGCCCTTCTTTAAATTTGGTGTATGACCCTTTGGAAAATCATTATGGCAGCTATAATAAAGCATATATGGAAAGATAGGAACTCTAGAATATTTGAGCAGAAATTTATAGATGAGGGATCTATCAAACAGGCTATTTTCAAAGATATTGAACATTGGGTGCAAACACAAGTTAGTTTCAAGAATGTCCCTACAGAACAATTTGAGTTGAGCTTCCATCAATTGTTATTCTTGAAAAAGCACAAAGTAAGGAGACTGGCATTATGGAGACCCCCATGGATGAAACAAAGCTCTGATGGAAGTGTTAGGAATAATGCATAACGGTGGGGTATGGAAGGGTTCTAAGAGATGACAAGGGTGACATTATTTAGACTTTTAAATGGAATGTTGCACCTTGCCAAGCAATCGAGGCAGAGCTCCTTAGCCTTAAGTTTGGTGTTCTTAAACCTGAGAACTTTATCAAACAGGCTGCGATTGAAGGAGATTGCTTAAATGTGATTAAATGGTGCAATATTCCTTCTTCTATCCCTTGGAAATTGGCTGGTGCAATGGCAGAGATTCACACACATCTTAGGGGGAGACTTGTTTTTTTCGTCCATGTCAATAGAGAAAGGAATCGTCCATGTCAATAGAAAAAGGAATTCTTTAGCAGATAAAACAACCAAATTGTAATTCCTTTCTGTCTTTTTTCTTCGTTCTTCTTTCTCTTGAGGCCTTCTCAGCCTCTCGTCGTAACTCAAGATATTAAATATCAAGAGGTGTTTTGGGTTGTCCTCACATCCTCCAAAATAGAATTTGGGCCGCCTTGTGTGGAATCTATCCCCAAAGATTCCATTCATTGCAGAGGAGATTCCGATTAAATTGTGTAATAGGAAACAAAAAATACCATGCCTTTATTGCATGAAATTCAATTCATGAAAAAAGAAAATAAAATAAAATTTGTCCATGTATATATAGAGAAGTGTAAGAAGCCAAAGTGCACCGAACAACACATTTACTAAAGGACAGAGTCTCTATGAGTCCTAAGACTCATATTTATAAAAATATATTTTTTGATTGATTATGGACCTTTAAGAAATACATAATCCCTAACATGGAGATCATGAATATGTAAAAAATAAATTTCAAAAAGTGAAAATGGTAATTTTATGGAGAAAAATATTTAGACCATTGGATTTAATTTTAATTGGAGGGCAACCCTTTCGATGCCATAATGTTTAATGCCTCAAGGGACTCAAATATAAAAATACGTTCTCTGTACAACAATTTTTTTTTACTAAAGACGTTTGGGTACACTTAATCATAAAGAAATGGAAAGAGATTACGTGAGATTTACCAGAAAAATGAGAAAATTCATTACAAGCGGTGATACGTGAAAAATCTATTACGAGCGTAAGGTGTAATTTTGAGAAATCTTGGACGTGCGTTTTTGTTTATTCTTGATTAAAAAAATCTTCTACGCCTTCTCTCTTTATAATAACTAGGTGATCCCTCCTTTTTTAAGGTCGTCCCTTTATTTGAAGGCATCAGTTGTTTTACGAAAAAAAAAAATCAGTCATCAATGATAAATTACAACACAATCCTAATAAAAAATTTCATCCCTCCCTTTTTAACCTTGTTCTCTTAATCAATGATAAATTACACAACACAATCATAATAAAAATTTTCACACAACATAATCCTCATAAGAAATCATTAAAATCTCAATTGAAATAACATACCTCTTTAGTCTCTTCCGATACTTCAAAATTTTATACTGTAATTACTAAACCTTCTACTTTACTAATCAAACTTCGTCCCATTTTTTAACTCCTACCCTACCGATTTTGAATTTAGTATCATAAATTTATTGTTTATTTGAAATTATATAGAGAGATAATTTGAAAGACTTCCATAAAAAATAAAGCTTCATAATAAAATCATGTTATTCCAATCATATTGTTCCAATGATTTATCATGTTGAAACCAATGTCAGATTAGAAAACATGTGACTGCATATAAGTGTTAAAGGCACTTAAAATAAGTAGGAAATAGTGTCATGACTGTAAAATGGTACAAGTTATTATTAAAAAATCTTTTTGGAATGATGATAATGTTATTATTAAAAATCTTTTTGTGTGATGATGATTTTAATTCAGTATTTTAGTGGAATTTTGTAACAAAAAAGAAGGAAATGATAATTTTGCATTTTAGTAGAATTTTGTGATTTATAGGAACGTGCTCGTAAAATATTGGTAATGCATTTCCTATATTTCTTCCAAACATAACCAAACAATAACAATGTATTTTCAAGGTTACATCTAAATACTACCCAAACAGTGACAATACATTACCTGCAAATGAATTTACACTGTTTGAGTAGTTTTTAGATGCAACATGGGAAATACATTGTTACTGTTTGGCTATGTCGCGAAGAAATATGGGAAATGCATTACCAACCTTTTTTTTTTTCTTTCTTTTTTTTGGCTTTATACCCAAAACATGGTTGAGCGTACAATCCCTATTAATATGTAGCTTAAACTTTATCCCTATTAGTATGTACCTTAAACCTTATAATTGCAACAGGCATAAGAATTAGCCACACTTTTTGTATGCCTTTGCATCTTGACTTGGAATCACATGTTTTCAAGATGTTAACACTTTGGAATAACATACTTTTATTATGATAAGCCATCATATTTTTTATGTTTCCTTTTCTTGTGCTAAAGCCTTTCGATCATGTCTCTCCAAAAAACTTTCATGGGTAAATTTTAAAAGAAAAAAAAAGTTTGGAGAAATTTGGCTAGCAAGCTAGAAGGCTTTATGACTAAATGAGACGTATTGGAGGAGAAATTATGTTGGGGCATTAGAGGAGATTGAAGAAGTAAATTAATTGAAAAAAGTTTTGAACAAAAAAATTCAAGCACACTGATTTGATGATTCTCTGTGAGTGAACTCAAGTATTTCAAATTTATCCGCAAATAATAGCAAAAAAAAATAAAAAAAATAAAGCCCAAAAAATAAACAAACTGATCTTAGCAAATAACCCAAAAAAATAAATCTGGGATATCTAGAAATAAACGATAGGTAATTTTTTTTTAGAAGCTGCCATGTTTTAGCTACTAGTAGAAGAAGATGGGGTTTTAGCTCTTAGTCGAAAAAGATGGATTAGTGTATAATTTTTGAAATTTAAATATATATACGATTTTGTTTGAAAAAGAGAGCTTTTGGTTGCAAAAGATAGGCTACAGTGTTTTAGCTACTTTTGAAGATTTTTTTTTGTGGTTTAGTAGGAGGTGAATCATTGAATTTTTGGGTAGAAAGAGTCGCCCAAAAGATTTTTCGATTACCCGTGAAGGGATTAATAAATTTTTCTGTATTGTTTATGTGGTTTAGTTGAAGGTGATTCGACGGATTTTTTCGGTAGAAAGAGGGACCCGAAAGATTTTCTTGATTGCCCGTCAAATCCGTAATAGATTTTTCACTCTTCAATTATCCGTCAAACCCTTCGTAGATTTTTCACTCTTCGGGGAGCGTAATAGATTTACTGATTGTTTTGGGGAAATCTCCGGTAATATTTTTCTATTTTTTACCAGTGAAGTAGTAAAGTCTACCTAAAATGAAAATGTCATATTTCCCTGTAATCTATTTTCATATAATAAATTTGCAGGTTCCCACCCCTAAGAATAGGTTTGAGTAGCTCTATTAAACTAGTTGCAATTTTGTTTAAAAACCAATAATCATTATATATAAAGTGCGGTTTGCATCTCGTTGCAACTTTAAACTATCAAAGTAACGTGCTTCTCTAAACTTAGTCATAACATGCATTTTGGGTGTTGGAAATTCATAGGATGGTGTGAGAATATATTTTCATATCTAATTATTAAATTTTAAACTCCAAAAATGATTCAAATTAAACAGATCTATAAACACATGAAAATATTAAGAAATGGACCGTCCAAATAATATGTTGCATGATGTACAATTTTTGGGACTTGAAATCTTTATGTTTTTCTCTTCATATCTATGTATATCGATGTTAAAATGATCAACTAGATATGTTTCTAACATCGAAACAACCTCTTCGATATAGAAATACAATTTTCCTCTATAATTTTGAGCACCCAAATGCTACTACGTCTAATAAAAAAGATAAACAATGCAAGATACACTAGCACTAACATGGTATGATGTTCGTGCATCAAAGTTGAGGTTGCATGCAACGCGCTTGCACGTACAGAAACCCCTTATGTAACTTGTTAATGCATTGAGAAGTTCGTTCTACTGAATATTTTATTTATTTTTAGATATAGAAATATTTTCACATTAATTTATCCCACTCCTTTTTACATCAATTGACAATTAATTGATCTGAAAAATAGTTCCCAACCGAATCACATGAAAATTTTTTTACACTTAAAACAATATCTCTGAAGAAATATTTTCACGCCACCGTAAAAGAAAAGTTCTTAATGCATGCTTTATGTCTCATGGGGTATATTACATTATCCATCTTACGGAAAATTAAGTCCAAAATTTATCTAAAAAAATAGATCATTGAAGAGGGGCTGCATATCAATACACTGAGTCCTAGGACTCATAAAAGCCGTGTTGGTAGAAACTTAGACACCAACAAGCGACACCTCACAATTTTGCCTCGAGGTCCCCAACAAACTTTCCCGCTCCTATACTGCAAATCCTACATACATAATTACACATTATTGGGGTTTCAATTTAGGGCGATGCCTCGGTACTAGGTGGTCCAACCCCTATTCTACAAATCCAAGTTGTTTGGACCCTCAAGAACACCTGGTAAGGTTGGTGATCCCCTGTAATCGGCGCCCTGAGAGATCTTTTTCCTTGTAAAAACCACCAGTGATTATGGAGAGTGCTTCCTCCTCCTCTTCTTCTAAGGTGGCTTCTCTGCGTTGGGCCATTCTACGACGGGCTTTTCTCTCTGCTTCCACAAGTTCGTCTCACCTCTCCCATTTCTTCTTTTTCTTTTTGCTTGATAATATCTTTCTTTCCTGAATCTTTCTATACTGAAAGTTTCTGCAATCTTTAAGGGGCTTTGCTCTGAAACTTTGTTTGGTTTGGGGTATTTTACATGTGAATCTGTTGCAGTTTTTGGCTGATGGTTCAATTGGCTCATAAATCACTTCTATGGCAAAAATTATGATTTCAGTGATAATAAAAGAGGATATGGAAAGAAGTTATGATTTCAGTGATAATAGAAGACGATTGGATTTGGGTGAGGATTCAAAATTATAGTACCCATGATACTCCTTGTGATATTTAAGTTAGGGTGTGGTTTGTATAAGGTGTCAACCTTGAACAAGTAAGTTACACCTCTAAATCTTGACAAATGATGCAGTTCGTATATCAAAAACCCTTAGATAACCTAAACGTTTATTTTAATACCCTAATTCTGAAATTTAAAGCTCCAATAATTGTGCCCATCAATCATATCTATAAACACTTAACAATTTTGAAAATAGGCAGTCTAGATAATTTGTTACAAGATGCACTACTTTTAAGACTTGCAATACTTTTTTTTTTCATTTCTATACATCTCGAGGTTCCGATGATTAAGTGCAAGGTTTTTCAACATCGGGACAACTTTTTGGAGTGGATTTTTGAAGTCCATCATATTTCTACACTATCAGGTTGACACCTTATATAAACTTTTTTCTTAAGTTAATCTTATTATTTTTGGTGCCATGATTAATATCTAAAAAAAGTTTGTTATAGCTAAAATAATTAATTTGGAAGCCAGCATAGATCATTGAGCTTATTAGCGGTCAATGCACAAATGATATTCTCTTCTTGTGAATGATCTTTGTGTCAAAATTACAAGGTCACCTCTTCGTGCAGAACTCAAAAGCGATATTATATATTTAACTTGATGAAAGAAGGTTCAACATGCACAGTTTTAGTTAAGGCTGATTTAAGACATCGTGGAATAAATCAGGAATCCTTTGTATAACCAGCTGTTTTACAACCATTTTAGACCACTATTATTGTGGACTCAACTGTAATCTATACTGTAAAGAATTTTATATTCCTGCTGCTTAGCTAATCTGAGCACTGACAGTAATCATCTGAGGTGTATTACGCAAATGAATAACTATTTACAGTTACCTGTGAACAACAACTAGCCATATGAGCTTTGAGCAATATATGCTATAATTTTATTTTGGTGCATTATAATCTTTTATTAAAAGGTAAATTATGCTCTCTGCCAGCCTTAATAGATTCTACTTTCTATTTGAAAAGTTTCCATTGTTCTGGAAAATTTGTTATGGTTGTCAACTATATTTTAGTTGCTGTTGGTTATTCTCAAATTAGATACAATGACTTATTCTTTTAAGAAGTTGTTCAAAGCTAGTTACCAGTATCTTATGAAATACTTTAAAGTATTGTGGTGTATTGCAGATTTTCCATCAGAAGAGAGAATAAAATGTGTTTCTAGGAGGGCTGAACGCGGATTTAACTTAATTTTTTCCCATATCCTTGAGGGCCATACCTTTTGTTCAAATAATTTGGTTAATCTGAAAGAGTTGGATGAAAAGAGAGATGCTTATGTGTGCTACCACTTACCTGGAGGCAGAACACCAAGACTTGTTCTAATGTAAGCTTGGATTTCTGTCTTATGTTTCTATTCATTTCTATATATGTACACATTTATGTTTCTGGTGATTTGATCCATCTAGATTGTATATATGTGCAAAATAAAAGGTCAGGTATACCACAATCTAATGGCTCATTGAAATTTCTGGCCCATTGTCATCACCATCAATGATATTGGATGGGGATGGAGACGGAATGAGACCTATCATTAGAGTCACGTCCTGTTGTTGGTGGGTCCCTTTGTCTCTACATCACGTACATCATTTCAATTGGTGGTCATGATTCCGTAGACTTATGGTTAGATTCTAGAATACTGTACCAAAACAAAAAATACACAGGAATAAGCAAACTTAATGTATTGGAGGGATTTTTTTGGAAGTATGATTTGGCTTAGTTTAATATCATATTGTAGTGCTCATTGCAAAAGTGCGGTATCTAAAAGAAGATATCATCAAAATTTATTGATGAATATGATGAAGTGTTATTGTGTTTTATTTCTTTTATCTTCTATATTTGTCAACTCTCTAAAAGTGCAAATTATAGGTTAATTAAGCATCTATGTTTGGGTATGTGTTGATCGCTGATTAATTGAGGGATCTGTACACAGCCAAAGGCTACAGAAGTTTTTGGACTTGAAGAATGACTTTGAGGTTTGTAAGACAAATGAAGTTGACAACACTGGACTAGTTTGTAAGTTTTTGTGATGCTTTATGAGGTTCTACATTGACAAGATCCCTTGTAATTTTCTTCTTTTTGCCATGGTGCTCATTCTATTATTAGTTTCTTTTCATAGCCTACTATGAGTAAGTTATGCAATATTCAAACTACTTATGGATTTATTCATATTTTCAGGTATTTGGCCTTCAGAGGATGTCCTTACATATTTTTGTTTGACTCATAATGGCATGTTCAGGTATGTAGAATGCCTCCAATATTGGTATCTTGTGGCAATTTTCTTTCTTTTATGGAAATTTTTGTTCCCAATTTTCTATAGCCTAATAGTATTTTTGAGCCAATGTTTTGAAACCAAACAAGAGGTTGAACCAGAGAAGGAACGTCTGGTTTTAATTTAATCCAGTTAGACTGCTCCATTGATAAATGAAAATATGGAGAAATATGATCAGATAGCGAGTTCATACTTCAACCTGGTTCAGCACAATTCGACATCTTTTGATCTGATTTATGCATTTAATTAGTTTTAAAGGTTGGGCGCGACACGTGTTAGACCAATTCTGGTCCATTCTGATTGAACTGGTTGGTCTAATCTGTGGATTTGAAGGCATTCATCTGAAATCATTGTAGCTGTAGGTTTTGTGAGATGGCACTTTATGATTATGAATACCCATGCATTTTATTTTATTTATTCTTAATTCAACTAGGAACAAAAGGATTTTAGAGCTTGGGTCAGGCTATGGATTAGCTGGATTAGCAATTGCAGCAAATTCAGACCCCCAAGAAGTTGTCATATCCGATGGAAATCCTCAAGTCGTTAATTGTATCCTGATGTTTGCTGTTGTCAGGTACAAATATATCAATACAATTTTCTTTTGAGCAAGTTGAGTGGTATGTTTCGAACTTCAGATGTAGTATTGCAATCATCAATACACTCACCAGTCTAGCCGAAGCCTGAATTCAAATATATCGATATAACCTTTGTTCTTGTATTCGTTTTCGTGTAGTAATGGTTGGGAGCTCATTTTCTGTCGACTAAGTAACAAGAAATACAAGCCCTTTGGGGTGCTTTCTTTTTTTGGTTTTCCTTTTGTTTTGTACTTTTTATTCATTATCTTAATGAAGCTCGCACTTTCTCAAAAAAAAAAAGTAACAAGAAATACTAGCTTATGCGTGAATGTTGAGGAATTTGTTGTTTCTATCTATGGACTCTGAACTACGATTTTCTGGCTTTCTTAGAGAACTACCTTGATTGTTACTTCTAAAATCTATCTTGTATAAGAATTAGCCTATTTATTCTGGAAATGACATGATACCCCTGTTCTGATACATGCATGCACATTTCTTCAGTTTTGCATGTTTTTGAGTTTCTTAAGTTAATTGCTTTAGCTCACAGTATATCTTGATGTTAATATTGGCATCATGTCTGTTATGCATGTATGAATAAACATGGTAATCAGATAATTGCTTCCTATTAAAGCAGGAACCCCTACATCAATTAAGCCTTCTCCATAAAGAACTCCAATGGATGTTGAAATGTGTGTTTCTGTCAAGTAGTATGTTTCTGTGACTGGAAGAAACTATCATAAATTGATCTATTTATGAGATGAAAACGGTCCCGTCATAGGTTGATTCCTGAGAAGAATAATACCCACTAATTCCCACAAATCTATGGAATGGACACATGTAAGACATGGGAAATGATCTTACAGATTTTTGGAATTAGATATGCTTGGCTTTCAATGTTGTTTTGAACATGAATTCTCCATTGATGAATATCATCAATCTGCGAAATCTGATCTACATAGAAGTGGGTGCTCAGTTGTTTGCAGTGGGCATTTAGCATCATGTGATCCTGTTATGATTTACCTTGAGATTGTGGGAATTGAAGATTTCTGCTCTAGATTGGCCAGCCTATACAGTTATGCAAATTTAGAAGAATATATGATGCTAAGTATTCATCTAGTAATTCTTTATTGCAAGTTTTCTAAAATGGCATCCCTGAATTATGCAGCCTAGATGCAGACGGCAACTGAATTTCAGTATTACCTTCCTTGAAAATATTGTTTGCTTCCCATTGAAGCTTAAACTAGCACTAGTATGAAAAGATATAGCCTTTACATTACCCAGCAAGCCTTAATATTTTCATTTTTTCTTTCCTAGCTGAGTTAGGCCGCAACCTCATATTAACAAAATGAAGCAATATGCATATGTATAAGGTTCAGATCACCCTGAGGTGAGGTAATGTTTGGGGCAATAGATTTGTGCAAGTAGTTGCACCCTCAATCTCCACCCTGTTTGTCCAGGCGGATCACCAAATTTATTGCAAAATAAATACTAACAGGGTTTTGAGTTTTGACTAATCATTGATTTATTGCCCCAAGCTTCCATCACTAGATGAGAATTGGCATACACAGTGATATAGGTAGCCATTTTGTGCATGCATCTAGAGAAACCCACTTCAAAGGTTCCCTAGGATCTTAAGATATCTTAAGTCTACTTCTAGTTATTTGTTGGGGGGCGGAATTCTTCTCTCTTGGCATGGTCATATATGTAGATCAAACTTCTATTGTCCTAATTGGATTTGTTCACCTAGAAATGGGCGCTCATCAACTAGCTAGTGTCCTTTGTTGGGGGCAACATGATTATGTGGAAGAGTATGAAATGGTCCGTGGAGGCAACAGGCTGTGAAGCTATAAGGCAATCTCTTGTGCTGTGTGCAAAATGGTGGTGCTCAAGATCTTTGTGATGGATGGATATGAGAGTTGGGGTCCATCTTCATATGGACATGAGCTTTCATACTAAATTGTTATCCACAGTCTCAGACCTAGTATTGCATGAGAAATCCAAATATGCTTTGTAAAAGAAAAGTATTTTGTAAGAAAACCAGGGAAGAAGTACCAAACAGATCTATCTTATACGTGGAGTTCTGAATGTCAACATGCAGATATGCTTAGGAAAGGGAAATTTACTAATATGCACTTAAAACCACCCAGGTTCCCAACTTAAGTTGTATGTTTAAATCAATAAATATCTGTTTCAATCATGGGATGTTGAGATTTAGATGCCACTTTTGCTTCCAAATCGTGTTCTTCTAAATAATCCATATTTCCCCTCCCCCCCAAAAAAGGTATGTGAGTTGCCCACCTACCTCCATGCAACTGAGTTGCCCACACGTTAATTGTTTTCCTTTTTAAGTTTTTATTTCATATTTGTATGGGGAAGTTCAAATGCTCTCTTTCCACAGGGCATTTGAGATGCTTAGAGGTCTTGTTTTCGAATCTCTTAAATCTTTTTGTTGGGGTTCAACTCACTCTTTAGCAATTTAGGCAAGACTCATAATCATTTGGTGCCGCCTTAGCATATCTCTCTGTTTTGGTGTAATTTGATAGAAAGTAACCCAAACTAAGCATTAGGCTAGTCCAGAAATTTATGAACTATGGACTGGATAAAGAGGCGTCATCTTCCTGACAACAAGGGTAGAAATCAGAACTCTTGGACATAGCCAACAAACCCCTAAATGAAAGGGGCTGTAGAGGGAACCGAGCATTGGTGGTCCACCATTTGTAGAATCAGGATCATCAACCAAACAGGTAACACAAGACAAGCTGCCTATCATATATAAAGGCCATTTAAATGGCCTTAGAATGGGATGAAATTTGAAGGGTATCAAGGATAAAAGTGTAGACACCCGATTCCCTGCTGAGGGAGTCTCAGGAAACATAAGACCTAGATACCCTAAGCCATCCCAGAAAATTAGACCTTAGTATCACCAAGTACCTCAAACATCAACCCATACGCAATTTCGACACCTAGAACCATGGAAACTGGCACCCTGAAGCTTGAGCTTCATGGACCCTTCAAAAATCAGTCTTTTGGGCCCAAATTTGACTCCAAATGAAAGTAGAGGTCACAAGCTTACCAACTGCTCAAGAATCGCTCGGATATGATGTACAGTTTGAGATTTATGGCTCGTGGGAATTTGTTCACAAATATGATCATTTAGTCCCCAGCGAGGCCATGGGTAACGCTAGAGAGGGTGGCATCAACACCATTGGAATTGGGGGTTCCAACACCAGCATGACCACCAACAATGCCTAGGAGCACAAAGTTGGGGTCTCCAATGCCCAAGATGGAGGTGGCAACACTGTCAGCAACAATGTCCGAAATGATTGTCTGAACCACTGGCCTGAAGACCCACCAGAAAACAAGGCCCGAAGCATCATGAGCGTAGTGTTGGGGGTGCCAACGCCACCCCCAGTCAAACTCCTACATATTGAATAGTAATTCTGCAGCACAAATAATTGAATTTGAATGATTAAAACCTAAGGTTGGTGGTGCCAACGACAACAATTCAAGAAGCAACGTTGCAAAAAGTCTTCTCCATACACCTCATGAATGGTATTTTCATTAAATTAGAAGGACAATTATTGAAAATGAAATCACTATGGTGAGCGTTGGCGATGCCCATGTCAACGTTGGAGCTGGCAACACTGGAGATAGAAAAGAACAACAACTCTGCCAGTGCCAATGCCCACGTTGGAGGCAGCAGTGCCCAAGGGGGCATGGCGTTGGCAGTGGCAGTGCCAGCGTTGGCGGTAGTGATGCTCTCAATCAATGAACCCAACCAACACTTGACCACTAGAACAGTGTTTGCATTAATGAAAAAAGATGTTTTGAACACGTCTAAGTGATTCACCAACAGTGATGGCACTGTAGACGTGAGTTTCAAATGGTTAATGGTGCAATCGTAGCAGCATTGCTGGCGCCAACGCTAGCATTGCCACCGGTGGTGTTCGGAATCGACAACCCGGATTGACTCGAAACTTTGTGATACTGTTTAAGGACTATTTTTTTATAAATAGTGGCCTTGGGTTCTGAATTTGGGGAACCTTAGAGACTTCGAACCTCAGCTGAAACTTTGCCTCACTCGAGACTCAAATCCCTAAACCTCGAGACCTAAGTTTGAGCCCTAATCCCAACATCCTAAAACCTAAATTCCGACACTACCATACACCAATCCATCTGATACAAATATCTTCTACCTGATGGACTCCAAAGGATTGGAAAACTCAGTGTACCAAGCACAATTCTGAACCGGCCGTCTACTCCGGGTGCTAGGCTTGGGGGCTTGGCTTAAGGTTTGTTTTTGTTCCTTTTCCCATTTATTTTCAGTCTATTTCAAACTTATTTTCTCCAAATCTCTCCCCTTCTTATCGAAAAACTCTTTTCAAGTATTCTAGCGGATTCTCAATTTCTTCGCCCTTAAAGCCGGTTTTACCGGTTCTGTATGAGAGCAGCGACTAAATCCTCGTCCGGGTTATAATTCGACGAGACCCTTATCCTCTACTCTTTCTATTGACGAGTTTGCATGCGAATACGAGGCGGAGGTTGTATTTCCTCTATCGAAATTTTCATGTATAAACAGTCTGGCACCTGCCGTGGTGCTTGTCGAGCTCGTGGGGCATCGAAAACGCAAACATACTCCTTGGACCTTAGGCCCGAGGGTAGAATGAGGCGAGAATCTGCTTTTTCTTTATTTCGAGAGTTTTCTGGATCTCGAGGAGGTCAGAGTAGGCAAATTTGTCGGGGGCAACGCCGGAGTTGGCAACAACAACGATTGTCTTGAGAACAAGACGCTGCTGGCAATGCTAGAATTGCTGGCCCCCACACTAGTTCTTTTTCTCTTTGGTTTTCTAGGGAGCCTAGCATGGGATTGACATCGGCCTTGTTAGCGGCAACAACGCAGAATTATCTCAGCACTGCTGTCACGAACGCCAGAACCACTGGGACCAGATTGCATCCTCTGGCCTTGATACTTACCTGTTCCTTCTTTCTAAGCTTTGTTTCTACCTTTTTATTGTTTCTGCTACATGGGGGTCACGTCATCTTGGGAAGGATCTCGGATTTAGCTAAGCTTTGCAATTTCGAAATTGAATCATGGGAAACTTCACCCAAGATCAATTCTCACAGAAAAATGGAAAATAAGACTTAACGTTAATCAGCCCAACAGGATTCTCTAGATACCCATTTGGGGTAGTCTATTGTAAAATGGCAAAACACCATTGAGAGGAGGATTCAGCTGAGCTTTACAATTAAGAAATTTTGTTAAGATGAATTCTCCAAGAAAATACAATGATGTAGTAAAAGTCCCACAGTTCACCGAACAGGATTCTTGAGACACCTGTTCGAGGTAATCTATGGTAATATGCTAAAACACCATTCAGAGGAGGATTCACCTGAGCGTTACAAAGATGAATTCTTCTCCAAGGAAAATACAATGAAGCAGTCTAGTCCCTTAGTTCACCGCAATGGGATTCCCGCGATACCCATTCCGGGCAGTCTATTGTAATATGGTAAAACACCATTGAGAAGAGGATTCAGCTGAGCTTTACAAAGAAAAATTCTCCAAGAAAAATGCAATGATGAAATCATGACCTTCAATTCACCCCAACGGGATTCTCATAATATCCGTTCGGCAGTCCATTATAATATAACAAGCACCATTGAAGAAGGGATTCATCTGAGCTTTACAGTTCAAGAAAAACTTTATTTAAGATGAATTCTCCAAGAAAAATTTGATGATATAATCGTAGTTCTGACTAACCAACGTGATCACTGCCATACCTGCTCGTGTCAACCAAAAATCAAGTATGGTGGATTTTTCATGGATGACAAATCCCATGTAAATGGAAATTTTGATGTCCATTACTGCATGACAAAAAATTGTTTAGTTGGCTCCATGGTTACACGAGCTAAAACTTTTAACTAAATTCGGTTTAAAAAATCTCCCTTTCTTCAGAATACTCCTTTTGCATTTCTTAATTTTCAGGTTATTGATTTTCGAGTCCTTAATTTTTCTTAATTTTCAATTTCTTAAATTAATGGACAATCCTGATTCGGATCCTTTCAAAATTAGGTGTTTGTTGTTTTAAAAAACTTTAATTTCTTTGGTTCAAATTGTAATCCGGCATCAACATCTGTTTTTTTTTTAAAAAATTCTCCTTGTTTTCAAGATTTTCCTAAAAATATTTTGGAAAACAAAAGAGTCGGATCCACGCTTGGTAATGATGATCAGAATGTGCCCTAAGATTGACTGGCTCCAAAGAGAACGTCGCTGGAAGAAAGGTTTCATGGATCGGAATACAAACTATTCCAGTCCCCCCCTAAAACTCGCAAATTTCCCTAAAAAATCCCTTAAATCTCCTAAACCAACCAATCTATAGGTCAATTCCCTTGAAAACACCCAGGGCACGAGGTAGTAATCTACTCAACCGGAATTCTCTGCCTTCTCATTTAGGGCCACTTTTCAATCTATGTTTTAAACACCAGGGGTTCTGTCTTCCTTGGAATCTGACACCCCCACCTTAGCCAACAAAATGGAGGTAGCGATCGCCCCGACCTATGGGCTAAGCTCACCTCCAGGTCCCAGAGACCACAGGCGCCACAGGCCGGCTGTTGTCAGATACTCAAATGATGTCTCTCTTTAAAAGTATTTTGTCCATCTTTGTATTTCTCTTGCTCTGTATCTCAAGTGTCCTTTTTTGCCACTCATCTCGTATCGCACTTGTGCAACATGAGCGACCAAGAGAGGCAACTGTAGACACCCGATCCTCGGCTGAGGGAGTCTCAAGGAACCGAAGACCTAGCACCATAGATTCCCTAAGCCATCTCACAAAATTAGAGCTTAGTTTCACCAAATACCTCAGAAATCAACCTATACACAATTTCGACACCTAGAACCATGGAAACTGGCACCCTGACGCTCTAGCTTCATGGACCCTTCAAAAATCAGTCATTCGGGCCCAAATTTGACTCCAAATGAAAGTAGAGGTCGTAAGCTTTTCAACTGCTCAAGAATTGCTCTAATACAATGTACGGTTTGAGAGTTATGGCCCTTGGGAATTCATTCAGAAAAATGATCATTTAGTCCCCAGCGAGGCCACATGTAATGCTAGTGAGGGTGATGCCAACGCCACTGAAATTGGGGGCTCCAATGTCAGCGTGACCACCAGAAATCCCCAGGAGCACAGAGTTGGGGCCTCCAACGTTCAAGATGGAGGTGGCAACGCCGTCAGCAACAGTGTCTGAAATGTTTATCTGAACCACCGGCTTGATGACCTGTCGGGAAACGAGGCCCGAAGCGTCACGAGAGCGCAACGTTGGTGGTGCCAATGCCACCCCTAGTCGAACTCCTACATATTGAATAGTAATTCTGCAGCACAAATAATTGAGTTTGAATGATTAAAACCCAATGTTAATGATGCCAACGCCAGCATTGCAGGGAGCAACATTACAGAAAGTCTTCTCCATACACCTCAAGAACAATATTTTCATTAAATTGGAAGGACAATTATTGAAAATGAAATCATTACGCTGAGCGTTGGTAATGCCCATGCCAGCACTGGAGCTGGCAACGCTAGAGGCAGAAAAGAACGACAGCTCTGTTAGTGCCAACGCCCAAGTTGGAGGCAGCAATGCCTAAGGGGGCATGGCGTTGACAGTGGCAGTGAAATTGTCAATCAATGAATTCAAACAACACATGACCACCGGAACAATGTTGGCATTAATGAAAAAAGACGTTTTGAATACATCTAAGTGATTCACCAACAGTAATGGCACGGTAGACGTGAGTTTGAAATGGTTACTGGGGCCATAGTGGAAGCGTTGCTGGTGCCAACGCTAGCGTTGCCACCAGTGGTTGCTGGGAATCAATAGCCCAAATTGACTCGAAACTTTGTGACAATGTTTAAAGACTATTTTTTTATTAATAGGGGTCCTGATCTCTGAATTTGAGGAAACCTTAGAGACTTTGAACCTCAGGCGAAACTCTGCCGCACTAGAGACTCAAATCCCTAAGCCCCGAGACCTAAGTCTGAGCCCTAATCCTAGCATCCTAAAACCTAAATTTCGATTCTACCATACACCAATCCATCTGATACAAATATCGTCTACCTGACGGGTCCAAAGGATTGGAAAAACTCGATGCACTAAGCACGATTCTGAACCGGTCACCGACTCCGGGTGCTGGGCCTGAGGGCGGGGCTTAAGGTTAGTTTTTGTTCCTTTTCCTGTTTATTTTCAGTCTATTTCAAACGTCTTTTCTCCAAATCTCCCCCTTCTTATCGAAAAACGTTTTTCAAGTATTCTAGCGGATTCTTAGTTTCTTTGCCCCTCAAGCCAGTTTTACCGGTAATTTGTACAAGAGGACTCCGACGATCGAATCCTCACCTGGGTTACAATTTGACGGGACCCCTATCATCTACCCTTTCTATTGACACGTTTGCACACGAAAATGAGGCGGAGATTGTATTTCCTCCATCGAAATTTTCACGTAAAAACAAAAAGTAACCCCTCCTCTAAAAGATTAAGGTATTTGGGTCACCAGACAACACCAAACTATCAATCTGACCATAGGGATTGATTCGGTCAAAACCTCTGTCTAAGGCAGTAAGAATAGGCCTCATAATGGGTGGAAGTCTAATTTCCTTGGGTCATCATCCAAAAATTTTCAGGGCTTTCCAACAGTATTTGACTTATTATGGAGGGCCCCAAAGCTAGCTTCATTGACACTTGGAAATTGGCTGCATATATGGTCAGAATTCCATATAAGAATAGTTCTTAGTTGTAATGACCCTTAGGCCTTGTTCTTTTGATTTCTCTCAAACCGCACGGTGAAATAAGCTGAAACTTGGAAGGAATGTTCCTCACTTACTTTTGGGCTAACCCAATCGAGCCCTCTTGCACACATGCGGATGTGCGCAGTGGAACCAAGATTTATGGGACACAAAATACACAAAAACAATGTGCGTGTGTGTGGATGAGTGGAAAACATATAACAAATTAAATAAAATAAAAATAACAACTTACTGGAATTGAGATTTATGTGGTTCACCTTTTCAGACTACGTCCACAGGAGACAGACAAATCCACTATTAAATAATGGTGGTCACATATTCCATCCTTATCTCTTAGAGAGAGAGAAATCAAAAGGCTATATAAAATGGCCTCATGTGGGGGGCTTTGTTGCTCTCTTGGTAGGTTTAAGCAAAGTCTCTTCTTATTGGTGGGAACCTCTCTATTGTGGAGGGACGAAAATACAATGATCCTTCTTTTGCAAAGAAGAAGAAGAAGAGAGAGAACCTCAAAGAAGGAAAACCTAGAGAGAGAAAACCCTCTAGAATAAATTAGAGAGCCAAAGAAAGCTTGTTTCTCGGAAGAACTTTGTAACCATTATTTTAATAGTGGATCTATCTCTTTCTCCCATGGATGTAGCCTTAAAAGGTGAACTACGTAAATCTCGGTACTAGTAAGTTATTTTTATTTTATTTGCTTTATTGCATGTTTTTTCAAGTGGATGGAGTTAAAAGGGCAAGGGGTAGGTCTAACAGGATGTGGATGGAAGTAGCTCAGAAAGATATTGGGACTTATGGCCTCATTGAGGGTATGGTCTTTAATAGAGCAGAATGTCGGACCAGGATTCATGTAGCCGACCCTAATTAATTGGGAAAAGGCTATGATGATGATGATGATTGTATGTTTTCCCACTCGTACACACATGCACATTATTTTGGTGTATTCTGTGTCCCATAAATTTGGGTTCTGCTGCGCACATCCGCATTCATGTGAGAGGGCTCGATTTGGTGAGCCCAATAAGTGGTATCAGATCACTTTTCCTTTGACTCTGATACGTCGCTTGGTATACCTATCACTGTTTGCTGGTTTGGCGAGCCTAGCTGTCGTAGGACAAGCAAGGAAGAAAAACCTCATATTTGGTTGATTTTATTTGACTGACGAACAGAGTGTTTTGGGGCATTTCACCAGTCAGAGACTGTCGGTGAGTGGCCACTGTGTAAAGGTCTTGACTGACGGATCGTCGGTCACCACCTTGATAATCAATGAATCACTTTGACCACCAGGGACTCACATTGATTGATGGTGGCATCCTGAAAGCTGGTGAGTGCTTGACTGCCGACGGATACTTGACGGTTGATGAATTGACAGACAATGGACCCTTGATAGTCGACGAATCCTTGACTGTCGATGAATCCTTGATCGACGGTGGGAGCTTGACAGTCGGTGAATCTCCTTGACCGTCGGTGAATAGAAGAGAGGAGTGTGGAAGACAGTGTGTAGATTAAAAATGGATTTCAGTACCGGGAGTAGGATGATATCGCTCAACAAGATTAATTGGATCATTTGGAAGCCAAAGATGGAAGATCTACTATGCTACAGGGACTTGTACACACCCATTGAAGGGGTAGAACACAAGCCCGAAGGTATGACAGACGATGAGTGGAAGAAGCTGGACCAAAAGGCTCTCGGAACTATCCGACAATGGTTGTAAGAAAAGGTGTTCCACCATATGACAACGGAGACATCCGTCAAGTCATTGTGGGATAAACTACATGACTTGTACGATAGAAAGATCGCAGGAAATAAGGCATACTTGATCCAAAAACTGTAGAACATGAAGTTCAAGGACGGGGGGTCTATTGCAGAGCATTTGAATGAGGTGCAAAACATTGTTAACCAACTCGCAACGATGAAATTGTTCTTGAAAGATGAGCTACTTGCTTTGTTTTTGCTTGATTCACTATCGAACAGTTGGGACACCCTAGTAGTCTCCGTGTGTAACTCAGCACCTGATGGGAGTGACCATGAGTCAGGTCACTACTAGCCTGTTGAATGAGGAGACAAGAAGAAGTCCTCTGACACATTAAACTCGCAAGCTCTAGTCACAAATCAAGGGAGGTCCAAAAATAGGGACGAAAACTGATCTAATTGATCTAAGGATAAAGCTAAATTGAAGTCGAGAAAGGGGGTCACATGTTTTCATAGTGGTAAGATTGGGCACATCAAAAAGAGAGCCGTAAGCTCAAGAAAGAGCAAAATGAGGACAATGCTAAGGATGACGGCAGGTGAACCACTGCAATGGCCACATATGGTGTGGTCGGAAATTGTGATGACGGGTGCATCCATAATGCATCGAGATCATGCAACTCTGATTGGGTTGTAGATACCGGAGCATCATTTCACGTTACCGCATTGACGCTATTTTCTTCTTACAGAACAGGAGACTTTGGCTCTGTAAAGATGGGGAACAATGATTCTTAAAAGATTGTGGGTAAAGGAGATGTACACATCAAGATTGATATTGGGATGAAGCTGGTGTTAAAAGATGTTAGACATGCACCAGATATCCGTCTAAGCCTCCTCTCAGGAGGGTGTTTAGATGATGAAGGATACCACTCAGTGTTTGGTTAGGGACATTGAAAGCTGACAAATGGATCTCTTGTTATAGCAAAGGGCGAGAAGTGTTGTTCACTTTATAGAATACAGGTGCAGGTCTATATGGCGCAGTTAATGCCGGTCATAGAAGAACCCTCACTAGACTTGTGGCACAAGCGACTAGGCCACATGAGTGAAAAAGGAATACAAATCTTAGCAAAGAAACAAATTCTTCCCAGTGTCAAGAGTGCATCTTTAACCCCATGTGACCACTGTTTGCTAGACAAACAATATGAAGTCTCTTTCTTTAGTAAGATCACTAAAGATACGAAAATACTAGATCTGGTGTATTCAAATGTGTGTGGTCCCATGGATGTCAAGTCGCTTAGTGGGGCATCATGCTTTGTTGCCTTTATCGATGATGTTTCAAGAAAGGTGTGGGTGTACTTAATGAAATTGGAAGATCACGTGTTTGAGATCTTTCAGAATTTTCATGCTAAGTTGGAAAGGGAGACATGCAAGCTACTAAAGTGTCTTAGATTAGACAATGGGGGGGAGCACACCTTGAATGCTTTCAAAAGCTACAGTGCCAAGTGTGGCATAAGGCACAAAAAAGACAATGCCCTATACCCCTAGCATAATGGTGTACTAGTGACAATGAATTGCACAATTATGGAAAGAGTTAGGAGCATGCTATCTGCCGCGAAGTTACCAAAGCCATATTGGGGTGATGGTGAAGCAATTCTCAAAGCATGCTACCTAATAAATAGATCCCCGTCATTTCCTCTTGATGATGAATTCCCATATAGATTTTGGATTGGAAAAGATATCTTTTATTCACACTTGAGGGTGTTTGGATGCAAGGCATTGGCGTACATGCCCAAGGAACAAAGATCCAAGTTGAATGAGAAAGCACTCCTAAGCATCTTCTTAGGCTACTCAGATGAAGAATTCAGCTAAAGGGTATGGGATCCTAAGAACAAGAAGATGATCAAGAATAGAGATGTGGTCTTTCAAGAAGACCTTACCATTGAAGACGTGAAGAAGCCAGAAAAGCCACGAATCTTCAGTGATTAAGAACCGGTCACAGTTCCTCCTACCGTGGTGCATGAAGACGGAGGAGAAGTGCAACAAGAGGATGGGTCACAAGAGTTTGACATGCCAGCTCCGGGTGATGTGGAACAGGGGGAGCAGCCTGTTCAAGAAGTGTTTGATACAGTTGAACTGAGAAGGTCCTCTAGGGGACCTAACCCTCTACCATATACCCTGCATCTGCGTATACCTATACACTGAAGGGGGTTAACCAGAAAGCTATCAGGAAGCTCAAGTCGATGAACATAAAGAGGAGTGGGTTAAAGCTATGCAAATGGAGATGGAATCTTTGCATAAGAACCACACCTATGACTTGGTATAGTTGCCTAAAGGTAAGAAGCCACTGAAGAACAAGTGGGTCTTTAGGATAAAGACTGAAGAGAAAGCTCACAACCAAGGTACAAGGCTAGGTTGGTTGTGAAAGGTTTGAAGCAGAAAAAGGATATTGACTTTGATGAAATCTTTTCTCCCGTGGTGAAAATGTCATCATTTCATGTGGTATTAGGCCTGACTGCAATCTTGAATCTAGAGATAAAGTAGCTAGATGTCAAGACTGCCTTTCTCCATGGTGATTTGGAGGAAGAGATATATGGAGTAGGTAGAAGTATTCAAGATAAAAGGAAAGGTGCAAATGGTTTGCAAGCTGAAAAGGAGCCTATACAGGTGAAACAGGCCCCAAGGCATGTTTTTCATGGGTACAAGAGGATAGCCTCAGACCATTGTGTGTTCTTCATGTCGGTCTGGAAAGAAGAGTTGTGCAATGCCTTGGTCATGAACGATTTAGGGCCTACTCAACAGATATTGGGCATGAAGATCTCTCGTGACAGGAAGGCTGGGAAGCTATGGTTGTCACAAGAAAAGTACATTGAGAAAGTGCTCGAAAGGTTTAGTATGAATAAGGCAAAACTGTTGGTTCCCCACTTGGAAGGCATTTCAAGTTAAGTGTCAAGCAGAGCCATTCAAATGAGAATGGGAAGGAAGAAATGCAGAAAGTTCCCTACGCATTGGTTGTAGGAAGTTTAATATATGCCATGGTGTGCATGAGGCAAAATATTCTCATATAGGTGTAGTGAGCAGATTTATGCTAATCCTGGCAAGGAACATTGGGCAGCAGTCAAATGGATATTCAATCTGGGAATAACTGTTTACTATTGCAGGGGGAGCTGTTTCATGGCAGTCCAAACTGCAGAAGTGTGTGGCTCTATTGATCACCGAGGCAGAGTACATTGCAGCCACAGAAGCCTGCAAGGAGATGATATGGATGAAAAGATTCTTCCAAGAGCTGGGCTTGAAATAGGACACATATATCATCCATTGTGACAGTCAAAGCGTTATTCACTTGAGAAAGAATGCGAGCTTCCATTCTTGGACAAAGCACATTGATGTGCGTTATCATTGGATTCAGGATGTTCTAGAGAGGAAGTTACTGCAACTAGAGAAGATCCATACCCACAAGAATCTGCCAGATATGATGACCAAGACCTCAGCCAGTGATAAGAAAGAGTATGAAGACGCATGATTGGCAGGGGTGCCATTTGAGCACCTGGTTAATCTGCAACAGAGAACTTACCCCATGGGACAGAAGGGGGAGATTGTTGGGAGAGTCCATCTTATGTGATAGGACCTCCATGAAAATTTTTATTTGTAGAAGGGCACTTAGTTATATACAAGTGTTGACTTGTTGTTCAAGTCATAGGAAGTAGTTATCAAAATATAACTTAACGTGAGTTATAGGCTTCTCAAAAAGGAGATCCTCATGTGGGCCCCACATGAGATGAGATAAGATTAAATAAAGGTGGTCAAAGATTCCATCCTTATCTCTCTTAAAGAAAGAACAAATCAAAAAACTATATGAAAAGGCCTCACGTGGGGGGCTTTGTTACTCTTTTTGTGGGGTTTAAGCAAAGTCTCTTCTTATTGGTTGGATCCTCTCCATTGTAGAGAGAAGAAAATACAATGATCATTCATTTGCAGAGAAGTAGAACAGTGAGAGAGAAGCTTGTTAGAGAGAGAAAGGGAGAACCTTTTATATAGCCTTTTGATTTGTTTACTCTCTCTAAGAGAGATAAGAATAGAATCTTTGACCATCTTTATTTATGCGGGGCCTACATGAAGATTTCATTTTTTAAGTAGCCTACAACTCTTCATGTGAAGTTCTCTTTTGATAACTGCCTCTTATTGACTTGAACGACAAGTCAACCCTTGTATATAAGTAATGTGTCCCTCTACAAATAGAAATTTCCATGGAGGTCTTCCCACATGGGACAAACGCTTCCAACACTTACTCCCCTACATACCTATATACGTATCAAAGGGGTTTAATTCACAAGATTGGAAGCAGAACCAAATATCACAAAGGGGTTTTGGCCTGTAGCCAGCTGCAATAGCCCCATGCCTTCCCTTTTCAATTTGTCCCAATGATTCAAAAAGCAGACTGCCCAGTGCCTAGGTCCGAAAGGCTTGGGCGCATCGCCCAGGCCTAGGCGGCCAATCTGGGCGGTTGATCCATGGGCGGCCGCCTAGGCAGTACGGAACTCGCCTAGGCCTCATCTAGGCGGGCACCCAGGGCCTGTGTCCCTCCCAAGGGCGGAAATTGATTTCGTTAGGGGCAATTTTGGCCTTTTTTTTTGTTTTAAGGGCAAAAAATTAGATTCATTTGAACCCTAAAACTTGTTGGAGCCAATTTTAGAGAGAGAAAGCCCGCAGAAATCTAGTTTTTGGTGAATTTTTTAGGATCGATAACAAAAATTGATCAAAACATCCCCATTGATATTAGATTTACTTTTTGATGTTTTGCAATGTTGTTAGGGGGTTTTTTAGAAGATTTTGAGTATTTAAAAGTATCTTTGAGGTGGAAGTTTGAAGATTGAGCAATCAAACTCAAAGTAAGTGATTTTTTTATATTGCTTTAGTAATTTGTATTATTTTTGAGATGTCTTTTTCGGGATCTAATAAGAGTGGTGATCCTGATTGGAAATATGGCTATAACCCAGATCCTAATGATTAAAATTGCATAAGATGCAAGTTTTGTGAAAAGGATACAAAAGGGGGCATAAACTCGTTCAAGAAACATCTTGCCAGCATCAGGGTCGATGTTGCCCTATGTAAAAAGACTCCTGATGTTGTTAAAGAGAAAATAAATAATTTTTTGAACATGGTGAAAATGAAAAAAGATGAGAGATTTGAGATTAGGTCTGGGGTTTGGGTCAATTTTGATGATGATGATAGTGATGAGGAAATGGAGGGATGTCAAAAGGTTGAGCAATCCATTATTAAGGAAAGGGGAAGGGAGTTGTAATTGCTTTTGGTTTTGGGACTAAGAAGCCTCGGGTTAGAGGCCCTATGGATAGTTTTTTACCTCGGTCTGACCATGAGGTTGCAGGAGAGAAAACCAAAAAGCAAACCACCATTGAAAATAGAATCAAGAAGGAAGAGAGAGATAGAGCTACGTATTATCTTGCTACATGGTTTTATGAGGCGGGCATTCCTTTCAATACCGCTCGCTTAAGCAGCTTCTATGCTGCGATAGAGGCAGTTGGCGAATTTGGCCTTGGGATAAAATCGCCAACCCCATATGAGCTTTCAGAGCTTTTTTTTAAAAGAGGCAGTGAGTGCCACAAAGGAAGCTGTAGAACTTAAGAAGGATGTATGGGCTCAGTATGGGGTTTCTATTATGATTGATGCTTGGAGTGATAGGAAGAGAAGAAGTCAGATGAATTTGCTTGTGAATTGTCCTGTAGAGACTGTCTTTTTGAGGTCTATTGATGCCTCTGATCATATCCATGATGCCCATTATAAATTTCAAGTGATAGAGAAGGGCATCGAAGGAGTTGGGAGCATCTTGTTGTAACTCGGTTGTACTACAGACAATGCTGCTCCTA